CTGCAGCATGCAGACCGCGACACCGTATCGGATAGAAACTGCAATCTAATACATACGCCTTCCAGTAAATTTGCAGGTGCAGTCCGGGCACCGGTCAAATCGTGTATGAGAAACTCCGTCCAGTCCATGTATTTCTCTTTGATTGCTGGGAAGGGGGAGGAAAGAAAAGAAAGGCTTAGCACAGCAGACTGCAATGGACTTGCCACATGTGTTTTAGAAACATCTCCTTGGGGTTTACCAGCTCTGAAGTTTCGGATACAATTGCAATCCAGACCAGGAGAAAAGCTGGTTTGTTGTCCGGTCCCTTGGGCAGCCCTGCACACGGTCACATCCCAAAACACGGGAGGTGTTGCTCCACTGTAGTGCCTGACGGTGATTTACAACAGCGAGGCTTATCGTCTCCACCGCTCCCATTCACAACCGGCCACTGCTTGTGTGACCGCTCGTTTGCTGCTTATCACATAGGCTCAGATATGATTTATAAAGTCTCTTTGTATGTTCACTAAAAAAAAAAAACCCTGCGGTGCAAAGTTTCCGTTCCTCCACAGGACAACAGAAACTCCAGGTGCTTTCTCCCCACAAAGCTGAAAAATCAACCCTGAAAACATCATATGTCAGCTGCTGAGTCAATACCCTTGCAAGAAGAAAGACTTAAAGACTTTAGCAGGAACTTCTATTTAATTTCAAAAAAAACCCTGAAGAATTTCTGAGCTAAACACTGTACGCCTATGTTACTTTAGGATCTGTATCCACACAGTTTCATAAGTTTTGAACTGAAATGTATAAATGTTGCCTCTGGGATTCAAATTCTAGTTCAATTCTTGTTGAAATCAGTAAAAGCTGGGCACCAAAAGGCAATTCAGCAAATCTCAGCTCCAGAGGTTCAGATGCCTCTTCAAGCTCACTGTGCATTTGCAATCAGAAACCGAGAAACTAGACTTTAATTCCACCTGCCTGTAAATGGAAATTAAACTACATCAGAAGTATTTTTCTCTTCCAAAAATCTTATTTATATGTTAGACAACCAACAGAAATATAGTGATGTTGCTAACTCAGCAAAACCTACGGGAGGGAAAAATCGCAGGCATTTGAAAATTAAAATATCTCTGAACAAACAACTGGATACGTGGTTTAAAGAGCATTACCCCACAGGGAAGCCCAGGAAGGGCTGTAACTAACCAGCATAAGTCCAGAATAACTAAAGGATAGCAGTCCTCCTGGTTTACTCAATGGAAGCAGAGTCCTTCGTTCCAGACTTCAGGGAAATACCACATTAGTTAACCCAGAGCGATTCAGCTGGGAGTATTTGGCACTTTCACACGTATCAGGGTGGGATTTCTAAATGTTTTAAAAGCTCGGTGACTGTGACTTCTCAGTCCTTCCAGAGATGGGTGTCAGCTACTGCAATGCCCCAACAACGCCGAACCCGAGGTTTTGGACCTTTGAGAAGGTGCAATCTCAGTGGTTATAGCAGGAGGACTTCAGACTGCAATGCAAACAGCATTGTGGGCACAAATATTGCCACCATCACCTCCAGACGAGGAGACCAAACCTGAGCCTTCTCGAAATGCATCCTCAAGCCATCTGCTGCCGAACATTTAAAGAACACAAAGAGGTAGCACTGGGTTTGCCCAAGGACAGTTATATGGCATTGCCACAAAACCTGGCACAACACACTCATGGTTGGGCTTCCATCCAGCATGGGTGCTTGGCACACTTGGACTCTGGCCCATACTCAATTTATATCTAAACCTTATGCAATGCATACAGTTGGCCACGGACAAAGGCAGAAGCCATGCCCAGCAGACCTTGCATCAGACCTCATTTCTGACTTGTGCTCCTTCCCCAGAAGCCAGTTCTCCCAATGTCACTTGAACTATATATTCAGTTTACCGATCTAAATGACTTTACAAGTGCATTTAAATGTATTTAAAATGAGCAAACCTTAAAGTGCTGGACTTGAGCCTCTATAAAATAACACTTGAACTTGCCTGGAACCATTCTGAGTCTTTTGCAGCACTGATTTTGCATGATTTCCAGGAGATTAATGACCTTTACGTAACTTAAGATGAAGGAATAGCCTGGAAGAAATGGTTTATACATGGCACTTTCTCTCTCAACATTCCTGTTGTGTACACCTCATCAGTTTCTGTCCACCTACGTTAGGATAAAGAAAACAAGCTTAATTTGGCATCAGTGAGAAGACAGTAATTGCCGTAATGAATGAGACTGGAGTCCCTCTAGTTCAGACTTCTGCCTCTTGCTGCGAACAGCACTGGGTGCATCAGAGAAAGGTGCAAGTTGAACTTCATTTTGGCTCATACCCACAAAGTTGTCAGCCAAATTTTGAATGCCAGAGCTTCATTACTAAGGAATGACAAATGTGATAAAAAGAACACGGTTCAAACTTTCAAAGCTGGCGAGGGAGGGTGGGGGAAAACTGGATTTTCAAAGTTGGTAACAGATTTCAGGGGCCTCCATTTCCAGATGCCCAATTTGAGATGTCTTGACGGTGCCCGATTCACAGATTTTGCAGTCTGTCAGTCAGTCCCCCTCCTAATACCTCTCAAAAAAAAAAATCCCTTGTCCTTTTTAGAAGACTTGCATCTCACAGCTTTTTGACACATAAATAAGATGGTGCCCCTCTCCATATTCAAATCCGGGTTACAGGCTTCCAAAGTCCAGAAGTGCCAAGGTGACCTTTGTTTTCAGACTGAACAGGTTCAGCTGAAAAAAACACCTACTCCGGGTTTCCAAGTGGTTTCAGAGTCATCCTGCCCAAACAAATCTAATATCTGGTGTTTTGCTTTATCTTTCTTCTTTTGCGGTGTAGATAAAGGGACTCTGAAAACCTCTGAGAGAGACTAGATTGCACTGGAAGTTTTAGGAACAGGGATTTGCACTTTCTTCTCTGCCTACAGAGTGCAATCAGCCTTCTCAGTACTACAGTTCAAGTCATTATAATGCAAATACTAATTTTTAGTAGTAATGAAATGAATCTGAATCATCACGGTATCTGCAAAAGCCTTTGAGGACCAAGCAAAATGTTAAACAAGACTATTCAAACAAAGGGAAATCAGATGGGTAAATGAAAATAGCTGGCAGTGTAATGCATGGGCACCCAACCTGAGCATCCATCTCAAAAAACACTGGTGCTTCTCTGGTGTTTCAGACTCAGCACCTGTGAACTGAAGCACTGATTTTCAATTGTTAATTCACATTTTCGCTTGTTAGCTACAGGAAAAGACCCAGCTGAACTTCTCCTACCGCAGACAGGCTGAAAGAACTCTGCTTTTGGAGCCCATCCGCAGCTGGCTGGCCAACCGGTGGGGTGGGACAGGACAAAGGAACCTTTTCTATGGTGACCCAAGCTCCACTAGTATTGCCACTTTCGAAACAATTTTTCTTTCCTTAAATAACTTCAGTGCATCAGGAGTGGTCCATGGGGCTCAGATATCCATGTTTTCTCTACCTTTCAATGGATCCATCTTCCCAGAAGGCCTCTGTGAACTTCCCCCACCCAGAACCTGTCAAGCTGAGTGCACCTCCAGGCTCTCAGCTAACATCTGTGGTGCTGTGGGAGTCAGGGGAAACGCACAAGAAATAAAGCAAAAGAAACCTCCTCATCAAAGCCTTCCAAAGCAAACCATTTCATGTAGTGAGGTAGGTCCTCCTCCAAAAGCCAAAAGCCAAGGAGGACAAAAGGCGTCCTTCAAACAGAAATACTCTGACGAACCCCCTACAACCACAAGGTGTGATGAGCACAAGCAGTAATTTACAAGCGCATGATTAATGTCACCCTAATTCGTGCCACCGTAGCTCTTACTGAGTTGCATAGACTCAAAAAGGTGATAAGAAATCTTCATAGTAAGAAAGTCTTCTTACTATGGTACTTCTTACCAGGTGCTTCTCCGTTGGTGGCATAGGAGGAAATATCCCTCGTTCTTCGCAATCCAGCGAGCTGACAAAACTGGGAGGGGACTTTTACCGATGCATAAAATCCCCTCCACGCAGGGACAAGTACTTCAAGCTACCTGCCCCTTCACACACCCACCCTTCCCTCACCAGGCACAGTTCATCTATGAAGATGGCACCTTGAAAAGGGACTGTAACCCACACCACAGTGGGGCTCCAAAAAGGCCCAACGACAAGAAAGCATTTGAGATATTCTAGTTACATTGAGGCTACTTCGGAAATTATATACTAAGCAGTGACGGCTTTCTTGACCAAGACAACAGTAACATAATCATACTGATGGGTCCTCTAGAGCATGAAGCTTTGATGCTCTGTGAGGACAGAGCTTGACCAAGAGTCCCAAAGTTGCTACGATCAACACATCCATCTTAGTGCCTGTCCCATAGTCCTGCACAGGGTCTGCTCTGCACAGAAGTGACTGATATGAGATTGCACAATAGTCTGGGTGGCCAGTAGTCTCCTGGGGACCAACTGCCATCAAATTTATCATAGTGAGACGAAATGATTCAAGAGAAGCAGAGACACGGTAGCAGAAAAAAAAGACTCAGTTTAGTGATTCCACTGATGCAAAGGCCACGGTGTGAGCTGAACTGAACGATTAAACACTAGATAATCCAGACAGGAGACAGGCATTAGCAATGCTCTCACCATGGAAAAAGCATTGGTCAGAGCTTGTGCCAGATTAGACGCAGTAGAGCCCAAACACAAGGCATGCATCGCACGAAGCGGTGCTCCCAAAACGCCAGTGCTCTCCTGACTGCTTTTCCTTCCAAGTTTAGCAGGCAAACACCACAGCCCTGTTCGGAGCTGCAGGTTGTGTACGCAGATGTGCCTGTTTCCTTTGGATTGGGTTCAGTTCATCTTGGAGACGGTGTGGGTGGTTGTTTTGACACCTCTGCAGCTCCAAGGCCAAAGGCTTTAAAGCATCTTCCTGCCATAAAAATGCCAGAGAACCACCTGCCTTCGAGCAAAGCAGCCCAAAACACAGGCCAGCTCTGCACATTGCTGGGCCACGGTGCATCCACAGCGGAGCCAATAGCTCTGACCCAGACTGCATTCATGCAGGACTAAACGCACAGAGAGTGAAATCCATCTGATCTAGATCATCACGAGAAGACCTGAGAAAGATCCCACCTTCCTCTCCCCAGTTCTTGAGGAGTTGTACTGGTG